ATTGCTTTAAGTATGGTTATAGCCAAAGAAGAGGCACATTTGGGATCACTAGTCCCTGGAAGATTTACCAGGCTTCCAGGAGATGGGCTTTAAGCCAATTTTAAGAGTAATCACATAAGCTGAGAAATGTTAACTCTTTGCCACTGGCTCCTCTGTTCTGACCAATTCCTCTCAATCTAATGGCTTCTGTCTCGAGCCCTACAATATAGTATGTCAGCATGAAATCACAACACCATTAATTGGATATTTGCCATCAATTTCTCCTTCATTGTCACTGAGAGACTTCCTAAAGGAAGATGTTTGAAAAGCTCAGAGGCAATAATTTTATCTCTTTTTTGAAGTTGCACTTGGAAACCTCTGCTTGTATAAGTGCATTTTTGTATCCAGAAGCAACTGGCTTTTCTCTACCCTGCAGGCTTCCAAATTATGATCTTCTCACTCAATTTACATGGCAGGACAGAGGTAGAGTGATCCCCCCTTGGCGTAGCTGTGCTCCCTTGTATCTCTACGAACAGATTGTCTAGCTGTACTTTGAGTGCCCCTCTACTGTAGTATATTTTTGAAAGCAGAGAGGTTTAATAAGCATACGCCAACAGTCTGGATTTTATTTCTACCATTCATACTAAGAAAAAAGCTTCAGTTGGCATAATGTTGGAATTCCAAGGTATAGCAGGCAACATTTTGACTAACTTTTCTGCCATTGCATTTTTAAGTGCATTGGTTTTTCAGCCTGAGGTAATTAAATCTTTACTGTCTTCCCATATCCTCTCAACAGTCAGTTCCTCATTTTAAGTTCTGTTATTGCAACTCCCTTAATTCTTTTAAAATTACTGTTAGTCAGTATCCTTAGTTTCAAATAACAGAGTTTGCTCTAGTTATCCTATGTAGAAAAATATTATTTCATAATCTTTTAGGTTGTTCGAGAATTTTTGGAGAGGTCAGAGTACCAGCCTCTGAAGCTACTATGCAGAAACAATGTCCAATTATATCATAGGGTTTCTTTGAAGAAAACACCACTGCCACCACTGATCAATACTTTTGCCACTGAGAACTAAATACCAGACACTCTACATCAAAGTACTAAACCTTCCACTACTGTTGTTGGCAAAAGAGCAAAACCCAGAATACTGCCTCACTTTGCTAAATTTTGAGTTCAGATCTTACTTGAATGCAGGTGAAATACGTTGACCATAGCTGCAAAGGAATCTAGAAACATGAGTTTATCCAGCTTAATTATTGAAAGGATGAAGGATAGAGACAAATGAAAGGAGAATGTTTAGAGATATCAGGCATCTCCACCACACTATCTTAGACTAAATCTCCGATTTTATACCCACTGAAAAATCCTCACTAATTTTCAGTACCTGTATTAGAAACATCAGTCCCACTGCTGTCTTTACTCTGAAGAGATCAAAATATAAGTTTCTGACCATTTAAACTTCAAATTATTTTTAATATTCTTCAAAAATAGCTCTTGAGAAAACATAATGAAGTAGGAACTAGTACGTCTTAATGAGACGTCTTAATGAGAAACAAGTGGAACCAGTGTTATTAGTGAATGACGTTAACAATTGGCGAGTCTGGGTGTGGTACAAGGAAGAAGTCTCTGTACTCTCCTTGTAAATTTTCTGTAAATCTAAAAGTATTCTAAATGTTAAGTTTTACTTAATTAAAAATGATAATAAAATAGAATCAATTAGAAATGCAGAGAGATTGAAATTCCCTTTGGCAAAAGCACAAATACATTTTTAGGGGAAGATTATTAATTATTTATATTTTTCCTGAATCAATTTCATATGTGTATTATTTTGACCTTAAAAAAAGGAAGAGTTTGGTTGATTAAATTATATAACCTCTCCATAAGCCTCCATTGTGCCTAGCACATTTGTAGATGTTCAATAAATAACTGCTTAGTGGGTGATAGAATAAATAGATGGATATATGGATGAGGATACAGTGAACTTTTGATATTTTGATATCAGAATAAAAACAAAAAAATCCAAACCAAATTAATGCAGAAACTTAATGGAAAAATAAGTGGGCATTTGGAAGGTGTACTTGTCCCTGGTACAAAAATAAGCTATTTCTCATAGACACTTGGAAAGAAAGATAGTACTATCTCTGTCCCCTCTTGCTATATAACATACATACATAATGAATTATACACAGAGAGGAGAGTTGATTTTATATATATATATATATATATATTTGTTATTACTATTTTATACAGTTTACTGTTTGTGTATTTATTTAGCTAAAATTACTTACCTGGCGCTCACCGCCACTGTTTCTGGGCTGGGCTGGGTTGTGCGCCACATTTTGCACTAGGGGGTCTCGGCAGAGTCAGCTGCGATTTGGTGGGCTGTCACTCCAGAGTGGTGGCGGTCCCTGTGTCCCACTTGCAGGAAGCTGAGTGTTGCTTTGTGGACACCAGGTCCGTGGTGCCGTTTCTCTGTAAATGACTAGTGCATGTCATGGCAGCTCCTGCATCAAGTGTCTGCCCCCCTGGTGGTCATTGCACGTCATAGCTACCGGTCTGACAGACACTTAGCATATTAGCCTTTTATATATATAGATACCGTTCCAGCAGGTGTGAGGTGATACCTCATTGTGGATTTAATTTGCATTTTTCTGATGATTAGTGATGTTGAGCATCTTTTCATATATCTATTGGCCATCTGTATGCACTCTTTGGAGAAGTGTCTACGCAGGTCTTCTGCCCATTCTTTTAATTAGATCATTTGTTTTTTTGGTGTTGAGTTATGTAAGTTCCTTATAAATTATGGAAGTTAGCCCCTTATCAGTTGTATCATTGGCAAATATGTTCTCCCATTCAGTGGATTATCTTTTCATTTTGTTGATGGTTTCCTTTGCTGTGCAAAAACTTTTTAGTTTGATGTAGTCCCATTTGTTTATTTTTTCTTTTGTTTCCCTTGCCCAAGGAGATATATCAGAAAAAAAATATTGCTATGAGAAATATTTGAGGTTTCACTGTATATGTTTTTTTAAGGATTTTTAGGGTTTCAAGTCTAACTTTTAAGTCCTTAATCTATTTTTAGTTTATACTTGTATTTGGTGTAAGAAGATTGTCTACTTCATTTTTTGCATGTATCTGTCCAATATTCCCAACACCATTTATTGAATAGACTATCTTTATCCATTGTATGTTTTTTGCCTCATTTCTCAACTATTAGTTGACTATACCGATGTGTGTTTATTTCCGGGCTCTCTATTCTGTTCCATTGACCTAACATGTATTTAAGCATGTAAAGGTAGTCACAATTAACTATAGGTTAGTAGACAACATACTTTCATCTGTAAGTAGAATTAGCATGACTGTGATAATCTCAAGTGCACCTGATGCAAATATTTTGATTCAAATATTTTGAGTGGTTTTGACATTGGTAATGTAATTTCTCAAAATCGAAAACAACTCTTGGTAAAGGTCTGAATAATAACAAGTACTTACTAGTGATTTTATGTACTAGTTGTTTGCCAGAAAATTTTAATATCAGGTAAAACATACAAAAGAGTTGGTGTTTTTATATATAAAGAGTTAAGTTCCAAACTGAGGTTGGCTTTGCATTTTCATCAATGCCTTTGGGTCACTTTAAATCATGTGAACTGTCTGTTAGATGGTAGGGTGTCTTAATCCCTTATCTAGTCCATTGAATGACAAGAGTGCCCTTCAAGGTTTGTTGAAGAGACCAAAATGTCCCAGAAATTGGAAGAATGTTCTGTGTTGAAAACTCTTACATTAAGTAGAAATAGGGTGCTACAGTTTTGCACATTGACATGTCAGTATGTCAGACCTCAAATCTCATTCTTGTGTATGCTATATTATTTTGCCTCATAGGTTAATGGGAGAGAGAGTATACTGTCAGAAGTTGTTAAACAATTTATGTACCATGAGCCCACTGGCAAGCTGGTGAAGACTATAAACACTTTTTTTTTCAAAATTCATTTTTAGATTCATAAGATAAAATACATAGAATTAAAATCAAACAAATTATGTTGATTTAGCTTTAGTACAGTAAAGATGGTTATAAACAATAGTTTAAATTCTATAACACATGTAATGTTATATGTAAATAACTGTGGCTTTAATGGTGAGAAATATCTCACAGATACTGATAATACTGCTGTGGTCTGGTGCCTACATTCATAATTGAAGGAAAAGAAAGATGATGTTGTTTTATTAATTTTTAAATCCAACTTCAGTGATGCTCAGAATTCAGCCAATAACCCCCAGCTAAAGACCCCTGTGCTAAAGTGAATGCATGTACAGAGTAAATTGGGATTCAGGGTTGATCATCCAAACTGGCTCCAAAAGCTATAGAAAAAGTTATAAAGAGCAGGTGACTAGTTGATTCTTAAAGAATGACTAGTTAGCAGCAGAAAAGCGTAAGGAACAGTATATACAAAGGCCACAGTATTAAGAAAGACTGTAATATGTATGGCCAATATTAAGTAGGTTGTATCAGCAAGATAGAGAGAAAGAATCCTGGAAATGATGAATGAACTAGAATGTGCAGCTTATTGTTAAAAACAAAAGGATGTTGTTATAAGTCTACTTGATTTAACAATATATTGTATACTTACTGGGATATTTAGTTTACCAAGTGGATTGTGTGATGTCTGCTTTTACAACACCCATTGCAATAAAATTAGTTTTATATTTACGATGCAGAATTTTTTAGCATAAATATTTTGTTGTAGACAACTGTTGTGAATAAGAAATAAGTCAAAATACCCCAAACAAATATGTCTGACCCAAATTTAATTATATCTAGTTTAGTTAAAGGAAATATATGGGATGGCATAGGATTTTTCTCTGCTTGACATTATTTAACTAATACAACTTTCTTCAATATCTCCGATACCTACAATATACCATGGATTGAATGGGTCAGTGGTAAGTATAATTTATTATGTAGTATATTATGCCTTCCTGGATTATACAGACTTAAAATAAGTTGCTAACATCAAATGCCATTTAGAGCGGTTATCAGTGGTTGTTAACTTACCCACATTTATTTTCAGTGAGTGCCATAACTCCACAGATCGAATCAAAGTCAGAGTGTGGGATGAAGATGATGATATCAAATCCAGAGTCAAGCAACATTTCAAAAAGGAATCAGATGATTTTCTGGGACAAACAATTGTCGAAGTGAGGACCCTGAGTGGAGAAATGGATGTCTGGTACAACTTAGGTGAGTATCTGATAAAAAGTTAAATAAATTTCCAGAATATCTGTGGCATATATTCTATTCCCATATAGACAAAAATGACCAATGCCTTTCTAGAAAATTCTGTTGGACTTTATGTGATCTAGTTTCATTAGAAACAAAATGGGATAATTATTTATTCAACTTCGGTATTATAGGAAGACATTGGTAAGTTTGAGATGAAAAGAGGAAAGTCAACGAATCAACTAGATGTATTTTAGAAGAAAAATATTAGCCCATTCTTTACTTTTAAATCAGAAAAATGTAGCTCCAAAAACCTTTGCCAAATGTAATAAAAACTGATAATCAACTTATGACTTGATACTGTTTGAGTTATTTCCATTTGGTCCCTTAATGAATTTTGCAAATAAAGGAAATGTGTATTTTAGATATTTTTCAAATGGTGATATAAATGCCATCTTTAGCTGACAAAGCCAAGTACATCAGTGAACTTATGCTTACTCTAATAATGACAATATTGAGAATATGTTTAATTGGCATGGCTGTTAAATGAAATTTTATTATGCAAACACTTTAATTAAATAAAGATAACTTTTAATTTTACTTTTATTATAATTGAATAATAGTCTAGGATCTTCAGTGCTGGCTTAAGAGTAGTAAAAAAATATGGATCACCTCAGTTTCTGTAAAGGACATGTTCCAAAATTTCTTCATCATGTCATCTTAAATGTTTTAATTAAATTATTAAGGGCTGGTGGTGAATCAAAGAAGGGGTTACACAGTTCCAAGATTACAAAGAGTTTCCATTTAAGATATCAATATATTTTAGCAAATTGAAGAGTGCTTCTGGGTTTTTAAAAATGTGCATACTTCAAGTAATATAACATTTGACAAATAGAGAGATAAGGTCATAGAATTAATAAAACTTTAAATTATACAATAATTTAAAGAAGGAACTATATATAAGTTATCTGAACACAAAATTCAAACTACACTCAGAATTAATGATCAAAAAAACTATTTTAAAGAAGTCTTCCTGAAAGAGAATTGGTGCATCCACATTACAGGCATAAAATTTTTACCTCAGTTATAATCATCATTTTCCCACATCTTATTTATACTATAAAATAGCTTTATATATGAAAATAGAGATGTTAGGCCAGGCTAAACTTCAGGCCATTAACTCTGTGCAATACTCACAAATTGAGTTTTAATTAAAGAGGTTTGCCTATTCTTGGACATTTTCCTGTAATAAATAAGCATGTCCTTGAATTGAGGCAGTTAGAATTCAGAACAGAAATTCCTCAAATTGTTTTTTGACAAAAGATACATGGGCATATTATTTGCCAAGGAATTTGAATGTGCTGTTAGTAAAGTCAGCTACCCAGCTCTCATGCTAAAAAGGCCCTTCCAGCTATGGAGAGGAAAACATGATATTACACAGCACGGAAGGCTTTTTCTGCTTATCCTCAGTTTGTACTTCTTGCCCTCTTTCCTGGTTTATAAATTTTTAAATTCGGAGGGATGGAGGACAAGTTTTAGCTTTGTGTAAAATCCTTCAGTGGTTCAATCCACATAATCACCATATTTCCATTCGTTGTATGGCGTTCTTCCTTCCTGATCACTTAGAATTCATTCCACCAGGCTGAAGAGAACTTGGCCAAAACCTGGGCATCCAAACAGAACCCGTACCCCTTGAATGCATTGGAATGATGACAGTTATAGGACCAGTGGTGTTTCCCTGGCACTATGCAAAGAGCTCTGTGACAAAAAAAAGAAAAAGCAAGCCCTGGGAGTTGAATTTCTCTTGGCCCCAGCAGAGAACTTTCTTAATTTTATTTTAGTATTTGTTGAGACTCAACCATCTCTCAGCCAGTAAGAGAAACGCTCATGATTCTGACATTCCTGAGGGAAGAATCTTCACAACACAGTGACTATTAAATATTAACAATAAAAAGTCAGCAGATATCTCATAAGAAAAAAAAGATTTCATAATTTAAATTTATCTTATGGCTAAAAATAGTTATACTTAGAAAGAGGGCCAATCACCACCATTTTGTGGCACTCTCCCTCCTGACACGTCATTCGTGCAATGAATGGGTCAGCTTGCCTCTCTGTTTCATCTGTGAAGTGGGTGACAAACGTAGGTCCCCTACCTCCATTCACACTGTAGGAAATTTATGACTGTGCTTTTATTTCTCTCAAAGCTACTGATTAGTATTGAACATATGTGTGTGCTTACATACACATTACTTGACTGAATTAACTACATATTGATTTCATTCAAGTAAACAGTTGATCCAAAACTCCTGAGCAAACACAGGCGGTAGACTATAGGACTTGATGAATCACTAACAAAGAAAACAATAATTCTTCTTTGGTTAGCCAGAGCTTTGACTCATCTTTCCAATCACAGTAAGAAAGAGTAGAAGATTTTAGATAAATTACTTTCCTGGTTAATTTTATGTTTAAGTTATATTGCTTTTAATTGGCCAAATAATTTAATTTTAGTGGATATTCTACCAGGGGTGGGCAAACTTTTTGACTCGAGGGCCACAATGGGTTCTTAAACTGGACCAGAGGGCTGGAACAAAAGCATGGATAGAGTGTTTGTGTGAACTAATATAAATTCAAAGTAAACATCATTACATAAAAGGGTACGGTCTTTTTTTTCAATAGTTTTATTCATTTCAAACGGGCCGGATCCGGCCCACGGGCCGTAGTTTGCCCACAACTGTAACCAGCACCCAGACATTTATCTCAGAATGGCAAGGTCTTCTGATTAAGCTTTTCTATATGAAGTATCTATAATGTAGTTTGACAATATCAGTGACACAATAGGCACATTATTTTAAGTTGTATTCAGCAGAATCCTTATGGTGGGATAATCAAGCCTGACCTAGAAGAATGGCGTTTAGCAATGTAAGCCTCTCCGAACTTGTATGCGACATATGGGATTATCACAAATGACTGACCAATTCCTTTTGTTTTGTCAGAGAAACGGACAGATAAGTCTGCTGTATCTGGGGCCATTCGATTGAAAATCAATGTGGAAATAAAAGGAGAGGAGAAGGTTGCTCCATATCATATACAATATACATGTTTACATGAGGTAAGAAACTGGAATTGTATTACTAAAAATCCTAGAAAAGAAATTGGTCTGGATTGTGAATCATACAATAAAAGTTTTGGTTTAAAATATATGATTGAGTTAGCTTTGTGGAGTTATTTCTGGAGTTCTTACTCTATACTCTAGCAGTAAGGATGCAGGTGGGTGTCCTCTAATGGGAGTTTAGAACAAGCACATGTGATGGGTATGAATAAACAAGGCAATGAGATAAAAAACTAATAGACCAAATGAAATTACCATTCTTGCAAGAACAAAGAGTGTTAAAAAGCACTTATTGCATAAGTAAGTCATGGTGAATATTTTGGGAGCATAAAAGATATAGTAGTACTCCAGTAATGAAGAGAGGATCTAATTAATGAATGTTTTTTGAGAACTCTGAGTTAGTGTTTAGATTTTATTGAAGGTTTAATTAATAATACTGTTTACAACTAGAAATATAAAATGCTGATGTTGTACCAAAGGATTTGGGAGCCAGTGTAATAAGCAATAATTTTTTCTTCCTTTTTCTGAGTACAACAAAGGGCTTCATACATATTGGACCCTCTGCGTTTTATCTACCCTTTCCACAAACATATCTGGGTATGAGAGTGTCAGAATGTAGTTACCCACTCATAGTAGTAGACAATATACCCACCCAAAAGGTAGGGCCTGGCTGGGTTACAGAGAAGTAAAGACCACCCTGTGTGATTCTAACAGGCAGACTCACCAGTTCCTTTTTGTGTCTCGGTGTAGATACACCAATAATCTCGGGCTTCTATTGGATGCTTTGCATCGGAGAGCTTAGTTAGAGGTGTTACCAAAACCATTCTCTGATACAAATGACACTTGTCCTGTATATATAAAAAAAAAGATACCAGGAGAAATTGAGGAATGTACTTTTCTCTATATCCAAAGAGATAAAGAGAAAGTAGCCTAAGATGAAAAACAAGCTGAGAGAATCTTCACATATTTTTTTTTCTAAATATCTATAAATATTTATGTGCAATTATTTGCACCTCCATTTACTAAAGAAGTAATGAGGAACAGTATTAAATCTTTTATATATTAAACAGTAATTACATATAGGACATAGGCTTAATTTTCTGACTACTATCCATTCAGTGTTATCATTCCTTAAAGAAAAGTGGTTACGTTTTCAGACCAATAAAAAAAAAAATCCTGGAACTGGCAAAATGGGAGCCTTAAGAAGTGGGCAGAGAAGATTTGGATCAGGGGGACAGCATTATGCTTTGCTCTTTGGAGACTTACCTGCTGGTAAAAGAATAATAACAACAAACAAACAAAAAAACACAAAAAAACAAAAACAAAAAAACACCTAAAATCCAAAAAGGACTCCTTCAGGCTACATCTATGCAGCAGTTTCTAAACTTGTTAGAAACAGAAGGAATTCTATGTAGTGAGATTTCCTATGATAGAATTCTCAAACATGCATTTCAACCTGAGTTCATTGCCCTGATTCTGTAATATTTTGCAGCAAAAGCCCTTTAGTATCATTTACATACCTAGATTCTGTATTAACACAGCCAAAATCAGATTATTCAACCAGGGCTCTAAAATTTACTCAGAGCCCATGAGTGCAAAGTATGTTCTAGCATTTAGAAATCTTTGCATGTAAAACCTTTTACTTTCTTCTAAAACAATTGGGTACATATGAAACATTTTAATTATTGATCCTGTATAGACCCAGGGAGAAATATAATCAGAATTTGCATAAATATGATGTTAGAATTAAG